TCAGGTAAATTGTCCAAGCAGTCGGTTATAATATCTGGTTTTGGAAAACATCACTGTCATTTAATACTGCATAAGCGCCATTGTTGTATAACAGAGAATAACTTGTACATTGTCATATTTCAATACAGCTTTGAGTGAAATCCCTAGATTAGACTTGCGTACATGAAACAAGAAATTATTGACAAATTAATCAAACAAAATGTGCTTCTACCAAAGACACGTGCAGTACAGCAAACATTCATTGAAGTCTAATCAATAAAACCACGCAGCTTCAAAAAAGCAACATAAAGAATTGTTTTTAGCTTTATTACGACCATATTCTCCTTTATCTGTAGATGATGAAATTTTAAAAATTGATTATAAGATTTGATGCACCTCCAAATTCCTGCTAAAATTCAGAATGTAGAAGTAACAAAACCTAGCATCTTTCCAGTGGCTGAAACCCTACATTTTACTGCATTCACATTGCCATATTTCAAGATAAACTTCATACCGCATGTTGCACCCCTGACGTCCTTAACAATTACAGGTGATTCACCCCTAAGTTACTCTCTGAGCACAATCCTCTTGTACTGATGAAAAGTGTCTCGCAAGCATCCATAGAAAAACTATTGTAGATCAAGTCTTGATCGGTCCATCGTTAATTTCAATAGACAACATCTTCAACCATTACATTCTTCATTCGTTTCTTGTAATGTTTAAGATTGTGGTAAACTTGATGTTAAGCTGAGCTTCGTGCAGCTTTCTAAACAGATTTGGTGCATGATTTCTGTTGCTACGAGTGACAATTTTGTTGTCTACCTTTTCACTGTAACATACAATCTTCCGTATTTTTGTTGCAAATGTCTAATGAATTTGTCGGTTAATAATGAGTCTAATGGTGAATCTATGACTTTTCCATCAGTCTACCGGTGTAGACGGTTTTTTGTATGAAAATGAACACATTCTATGACAATAGACGTTTATAGAAATGTAGAAGCTGTGGAATTAGTTATGAGCACTCGGTTCATTGTGCGTCGTTCGTCTTGTTTTTATAATCTACTAGTGAAACTAACTGCGTGTGTGTGTTTTCCAGTAACAGCTGACGTCAGTATTTGGGAAATATGTACTATTTGCGTGCGCTGTCTTGTTGAATCTTGAGGGCTGAAGAGACAATGAAGCAGTCCATGCAAACACATTGAAGAATGTAAATTACGAAGAATTTAAACCTTGTTCGACTGCGCAGAGTGTCTCAACGAAGACTATTGAACTGATTGCAGTGAAAAGTTACAGGTTCTGTAAAATAGCAACGCTTTACTGTGAAATAGCATTTTCAAAACTAATTTCAGTCCAGTACACGGGATTCGTCGACTAAATACTCTGTTGTAATCTTCTACTTGTTCTACCTTCCAATAATAATTTTCATTCGACATTTCACATTCGTACATATGAAGTGCAGCCGTAACATCTGACTTGTGCTGCCTATAGCGAAGGGAATATACAAATTATTAGTTACATCACTCCAGTCTGCGATAATAAGTCCTGGCACATACTACTGTGACTTCCTTATGTCCACTAAGGAGAAAATACAAATGAGGAAAATATGTAAGGAATAAAAGAATATTGGTACACAACAATTGTTCCTTATTTAACTGTGCAAGTTCATACGAATTTCAAAGCTGTGGAAGACAAAATGAAGTGTGATTTCGCTATGTGAACGTTTTTGAATACACGTTTATAAAAATACTCGGAATCATTCAAGTTATCTCTTAAATTCGTTTACTAAAGCGTTGATGAAGCATTCTTGAACTATCATAATAACTACGTATAAAGATATCTCCACCATCATATTGATTAGTAATTATGTTATCATGAAATTTCCAGTACAATACATCACAAGTATTCACTTCTATATTCTATCTGCTGATGCTAATGGGAATTACATTCAAATACATCTATCTGAATCACTTATTGTGGTAACCAAAGAGAAAGCAGTCGTGTAAATTGAGTTTCATCTAATGCAGTCTGATCACAGCCAACCCATATCAAACTTCTGCAGAAAATAAGCAAGGTTGACAGACTAACTGAGAATAATGAATCTCGGGAATCCTCTGAGAAGACAGCAAGAACTGACTCTTTATGGAAACTATTGAAACTTGCCAGCGTTAAATATCAGCGCCACATAATACAGACAGATGTTTGCATCTGGGATGATACAGGTCTAGTGGGTCGTAGACCTCAATGATCACAGTTTAATTACATTACTGAAGTACTTACGGTTAGTTGAAGTCTTGATCAAACTTCTGGTCATGACTAATGTAATATCCAAACTGAGCTTGTTCCTCTCGTCTATGACACTGCTCAACTGTGTATTTGCTTGAAGCTCAAGTACCTTAGAAAAACAAATTTCTCTTCTGAGTTAAATGCTGACTGAAAATGCGTTCTCCTGGCAAAAGGAAGTAGCTCAGAGCTTTCAGAAAAACAACTTTTTGTCAATGAAGATGATTATGTAGCGTTTAGATTTCACTAGTGGTCCAGTGGTTGATACTACCAGACAGCAGATATAAAGCCTTCTTCGGAAAAAGCGAACCTCATGACCTATAGGTTCACACCACTGTTTGTTATCTAATATTTATTGAGATAACTTGCTATATCTGACCAACCCCTACAGCACACATCAGCTGAACAACTCCTGTAGGGCAGTGCATATAATCTATTTGAGGAGGGTCTTATCCAAAGCAGTTAAGCACCATCATGTCCACCGCTTGTGAGGAAAGATTGGTGGGTGTACGGTAATGGATCATTCAATATTTCTTGAAAATACTCCCTACATCAATTCCTGTCAGTCTACGCGCAGTTATAATCCAGTCTTATAGATTTGTGTCTGCAAAAATATCTGTCGTTTCCAATTGTTTCGTCCTGTCGCTAAACCTCTCTGCAGATAAAATCTCCTAAATGATGGAAAATACTTGCAGTACAGAATGCTCCTGATGGGAGTTGGCTCCTCCGTGAGCTTTGAAATTTCGTCCGAAATTTATCGAATTTTCATCAAGTTCCAAAACTCATAACAGCGAGTAAACCTATTGTGTCAATTTTAGAGCTGGACAGCTGGCATATTATTTAAAACCATTGACGTCGTGCAAGTAAGTATTGCTATTCCGGTTCATGATCATGAAATCCGGCCATCCATCACATTGCAGTGTGACGATATGGTCACTGGTCTCTATGTGTCTCAATATTGGCCGGTGTTTGTTAGTGACAAGCCATGACTGTACAGATAAAATGTGGTAAATCTGGTGAGTGAATCAGGATGATGATGAGGTGACTTGAAAGGTTCCCACAAAGGGTTAAACTGACGAAATGATGGTCTTGGATGTACTGTGTTCTCTGAGCTGGGATGTTCAATTGTGAAGCTTTCATGGTCTTTCTAGACGACATCATCTACACTAACTTCAGTATGAAGTCAGCTGTCAGTATCTCTCTGCGAGTGATTTGGTGGCTTGCTCTGACGATGTGGTCTGTGAATAGGGCGGGCACTTCGGACATGAGCACCAGTTGGCCATTAAACGTCACGACATTTCGTCACTCATTTCAATGCATGTGGATAGTTATGGACATGAATTCAATTTCGACAATGTAGAAATTTTGGATAGAGGAAACACAAAGAATATCAGAGAATTCCTAGAAGCTTGGCATTCAGGTCAGTCGGCAATCAACAGATGTATACACATAGACTCAATCTATCAACCAATACGAAAAATGACAAACGACAGAAAGGTAAGAGGTGAAACAGAGGAACAGCCAACAGGAAAGTCTATACAGTCAATGACACAACAATCGAGGGAAACAACCAATCACATACCACATCGTCAGAGCAAGCCACCAAATCACTCGCAGAGAGATACTGACAGCTGACTTCATACTGAAGTTAGTGTAGATGATGTCGTCTAGAAAGACCATGAAAGCTTCACAATTGAACAACTCAGCTCAGAGAACACAATACATTTAGGACCATCCACCCGAGTCACAAATATTCTCCACTGTCACAAAATGATGCTTACGTGCAAGTCACACAAACTCACTGGCATTATGTTGAATAAAGTTATTTGGAATTCTCTGATCTGAAGACAATGACTAGTGGACTTATTTTGAAGTGAACTTTGTTCGACACTAATCGCCTGTTGTAACAAATACGATGCGAAAGATATTACTGCTAACAAATGAACTTGTCAATCATTGGTGAGAAGAGTGTAGAAAATGTGACGCTCCAATAGTTCACATTATGGACTGGGCAGTTTTCACCTCATGGTTTCCAGGACTGATTTCAAGTGTAGACACTTGGCCTCCACTCGGTTGAAGGTGGAAAGCGTTACTTGTGGAAGATCAAACAGCAGGCAGAATATCTAAGGAACGTGTCTTGAATATGTAAACGAAGCCAGTCGTAAGAAAAGTGTATGTTATCGATATGTTGGGACTATTGCACATGAAGCCTTTTGACATCTTGAGACCTGAATCAATAATATTCAGTGGATGAATTTTATGCATTCGAAACCAGTATGAAATCTGAGCAAGAACCTAATCTAGAGGAATTACTAGGAGTTGACATTCTACAGAGAACCTCATCAGAGGAAAGCACTCACACTTCCATCCGTAACAGATGTTCCAGCTTTCTTGCAGAAGCTCAACTCTTAACATGGTTGCCACCATACACTTGATTTCGTTTACACCTTGCATAACCGGTTATTTATCAATTCGGACATACATTCTAACTGCTTAAACAGGTTGACCGCCTTTTGAGAAAATCAACTATGTTTAACGAGGCAGGTTATACGAATCATTGCTATTTGCAGCCAACAGTGTATTCTAGCATTTTCAATCGGCCTGGATGAATCAGTGAGTACTTGCACAACGTCTGTACTCAATACACCTGAATGAATAATGAGTACATCTTCCGAAAATTTGCATAAATAATGTCTGCTAAATACCTGGAAACAACACCTAGATTTCACCAACCATCCTCATTGATCCGAATGAAAAAGCAGTTTATTTACGTCAATGTTTGCTTGGGTTGCAATACAAAATGGGGCATCTCATATCAAAAACGAAATCAAAATGAGTGTGGAGTCGTTGGAATAAATAATGTCATGTATTCGGGATTTCTACGTTCATCTGCTAAGCCTTAGCGTTTGGCGAGTGTTGAATTCTTTTTGATTTGAGAAGAGGCAGAATACACCTTGAAAAGAAGATAAAGTGATAGTGAGTACAGAAGACTGTAAGACATTCAACATTTCTATCTGTTGAATAAGTAATAAAAAAGGCATCTTCATCGTTTTTCAACTACCTTCGTTATCCCATAATGGTGATAACTTTAGAGATTTATATTCTTTTACTCCGTATTTCAAGTCTTTTCAATTCGCTGCTTAGATCCTTAGTGTGATATACCGTATAGTGTAGATGGCTTCAGCCAGGAATTCATAGCAGTCAGTTTTGGGATTCCTGGCTTTCAGCATCACTGCATATCCTAAATGTCAGTCAGTCAATGCTCACTGAGAGAGTGTGCAGGCAATGAAGTTACTTCAGAACTGTTCCATCGCTGGATAATTCGTTGTCAAACTGTGTTCCATTAACGTCATGTTTGGTATCATGCAGTGAGCGGATATTTTATCTGTGCATGTTTCACTTCTTTTATCGAGCTATCTCTGAGTGTACTTCCCGAAGGGGTTGCATTTCTCCAACTAATTCTCGTACATAAAACTGCCGCACTACATACACACAGTGAGCTGACTACTTGGCAGTAATGAGTTCACTTGTTTGCCGGGCTGGAAATCCTCATATTTATTGAATATCTTTTTGGTTGCTAGTGTAGAGACCGTCTTCTTCCAACTACTGTTGTCAGCCATCTTACTCAACGATTGAGATACACCACTGACTAGTGCCCTCAAGAGATCGGCTACGCACCGCTGCTGTCCAACAGTTTTCATCGTTTGCGTGAAGTGAGGCTCAGTGTGAGATCGAATGTCATCTCGATATGTGTATCCATCACAGTTTTATTACTTCTTGCCTAAAAGTAGAGTGTCGACTGCATTCTGTGTGTTTACTCAGACTGCAGTGACTCAACTACATGACTCTCATGCTGCCTGAATGTCTCTTTGAGACACATTCGAGAATCGGCATGAACCCATGCACTTGATTTACTGCAGTCTGTTTGCAGTCATATACAGTCATATGTCTATCTAGTGGGCATGCTCCATTTTACAACTAACTACTTGATGAAATGTGTACACAATTAGCTGTTGGCCTTATGAGTTTCAACCATACACAAACGAAATATTCCTTGTAATGGATGACTTACAAATCAAAAATTATCGTGATTACCATCACTGCACCGACAGTAATAAACACAGCCTGAGGAAATACTGTGACGGTAGCAGCATACAAGGCTGGGAGAGCAGTCAGACTAATCAGTATTCCAATACGAGCAATAAATCCACCAAATGATTGAATCATCCCTGTTCAAATGGAGAAGAGGTAAATTATCTCTCAGTTTTACTTCAGTTGAACTGCTAAAATAATATACATATTTTACATGTACAACCCACTATCTATATCTGAGTGCAGTTTCATGTTATTATGAGTGTAAGTCGAGTGAGTGGTAAGCGACGTGTTTTTCGAAAGGCTGTGTTGGCAGCCTGATGCAAAGCTGTAGATTATATGTTATGATTTTTGAGGAATTTAATAATATTGAAATATTGAAATACCCAGTGAAATATAGTTAGTACTCAGTGCGAGGCCGGTTGCTGATAACTGTTGCATGTCCGTGACGTTTCATTGGAGGTGTATGTCGATGTGTCTGTCACAAGGGATTTCTTCTGAAAGTTTCAGTTGGACTTTGTGCTCAGCAAACTTATTCATCAACTACAGGTCTTTTTAAAGTGAGAATGTTAGCTACAAGTCAATCCCGACTGATGATGTGATGTAGTTTAAGTCTCCGACAGATGATCAAACTGTGCAGCAATACCCATCAGTGTATCAGGTGTTGCAAGTAGCCTTGAAAATGAACAATTTCCTTGAAATATTCCTCGTTGTGTAGTGAGCTTCAGTTGGTTTGAATGTAGTAAGTGTCACTAATTTGGGTAACCTTGTATCGATTGTGACCTACTGTTTTCCATCACCATTTAGGATCGAATTGTTCCACGCCAATTGGGATATGGGCTCAAATGCCGTTGCCTCGATATTGCCTCAACATTTATTTCCCTATTATTTGTGGATGGTAATTCACAGTAAAACTGCATTTGTAGTTGTTTCTGGAGAAGCAGAGGTATTCCGTAAAGTGAAGTTTAATGATAAACTGTGCATATCGAAAATTTGATTTATTTGATACGACAATAAAAGATGTAGTGTTGTATGTTGGATGATATTCTGCTGACATTTTATTGCCTGTATTCTAATCTGCGTGCTGCAGACAGCATCAAGAAGCTTGTTAAGTGGCCGTACAACCCAGAAATTGCAGCAATCCGACTACAGAATCTGTCTAAGCTTTGATAACTTGCCTGATGTCCTCCTCACAAACTGGTTGACTTTCTAAAGTCAAAAAATAAGTAACGTGAGTTACTTGGATAGCCTTTCGGATTGATGATGGAAGACTTGAATTGTTACACTTGTCAGTCTTTCGAATACGGAGAAATTCAGGTTATTATGTAGGACCTACCATCAAACCAGATAAATGTGACAGACACCGTCATTTTACTGAACAGCATGTGATTTTATATGATACTGATCCTTATCTATTAAAAAATGCATGTATTCTGAGGTGATACGCAAAAATAGTTTATGATAGTAGACAGAACCTATGTTCATTGTCTCCTACTGTTTGAAATTAGTCGCTTATCTCATCCCACAAGCTATCGGAACTACCGGCCTATTTGTAGCGCAGTGACTATACTCACTGTCTGACCAACTTTTGAGCATCACACATAACCCTCCTAATGACATGAATAAAATTCAAGGTGAGTCGGTATGGATGAGTTTGATGAATTGCTTTTTGGCCTTCCAACCCAATACAACTCTGGTGATTCTTACATATAAAATCCATGCATGAAGCACGAAGATACATCTGTCTCTTTCAGTAAGATTCTCTGTAGCAATTCAGTCCATATGAGATTAGAGTATAATTACAATTTTACTAGTTTCATCCTGAATTATCATGATGATTAACATTGTGTTTTCAAGATTTGTGTAGGTGCTTAATACGTTGCATTTCGTTCTTTCTGATATCTTGAGTTGCTTGATATGTGTCAATGCAGATGTTACCAATTCACTTCTAGTTTATCCTGAGTGACCATTTTACTGCGACCTCTGGGCGTTCCTGGTTATCAACCAGACTGTAGTCAGTGATTCTATATCAGAAGAATATTCTGAGAAGTATTCTTGTTCATTTGTGACAAGAAGTGTTTATGAAGGATGCAGTCTATGTGGTAGAATCATGGGTAAGTGTGAAGCAGCAAGACGTGACAAGTTGTAGCCTTAAGTTTTCGATAATGGAGCTAGAAAATTGCTAAATACAGTGATGAACGTATTAGGTAGTATATAGAAATCAGAGTTAGTGCGATCAGACTGATCTACTTCGCCGATCATACCGGTCCTTAAGAAGGGACAGAAATCTTCTTGTGACATACTTATGGGAATTAGTTTGACTAATATCTTATCGAAGATACTTGCGTCCACAGTTATCCGACGTCTAACGAGAGCTCGAGAACAGCAAACTTATGAAACCATACAGGTTTCAGACCTGGAGGAGAGTGCATCGATCATTCTTTTACCCTTTGACAGGTTTTGTAACACAGGCGTACTCATCAGTGGCCAGCACTTGGAATATTTCTTGATCTGAAGGCGAAATTTGACCCTGTCGACCGTGAGGTGTTGTTGTAACGTCTGTAGGTGAAAAAAGTATGCAGAAAGTGTTCAATGCAAATTAATGCTCTCTACCCGAAAGTACGAAGCCATATCTGGGCTTACGAAGTGTTATCATCAGAACTGATAACAACTAGTGGCGTGCAGCATGGATGTCCACTTTCACTGTTCCTATTTAACTTCGTTATAAGTGCTCTAATGCAGAATAACCTTAGGTACTGCTGACTTCACACGGATTGATCTACTCCGTGGAGGTCATCTTGTCGACTATGAGTAATCGCACGATACTGATCTGCTGAGTGAAGACACTGACAAGACACAGGGTCTTTAGACCGCGTTGGCAAAAATCTGAGTATGATTGGCATGCGTTTCGCTGGCGCATGCCAGTTGTTAAGATGACGCCACAGCATTGCGATCAATCACCATCGGGTTAATGATAGGGAGTGAAGTGGTGGAATAGATCAACCACTTCACTAACTTAGGAAGCCGCACCAGATCGACTAGACTGGTTCCTGACAACATCTCAACTCACATACAGAAGACCCGTTTCGCATCTCCCAACTGGCGTCATCTGTGGTGCCTACTGGCGAGATATCCAACTATCTATCAAAGGACGAGCATACTGCGCTGCAGTTCGATCTGTCCTCTTATACACCTGCCAAACACTTCCGTTGGAGACAGAGGACATGAAGCGATTACACAACTCTGATCACAGATGTCTTCGCAGAACAGCTCGCTTTTGGTGGGATCACAGAGGGGTCAATGTTGGCGTTGGTCAAAGGGTGCTAGGCTAGAGAGGCTAACCAGTTGATGAGGTTGTGAATCTCAGTCGACTGAGATGTCTTGGACATGTGTTGTGCATGCCGAGTCACCACGTACCTCGATGTGCCACGCTAGAGGAGATTGGATTAGGTTGGAAGAGAGCTCAGAGTTGCCAGACCAGATCTTGAAACCAATACGTGAAGTCCCTGACTGCCTATTTGACCAATGTGGGGAGATGTAGACCGCCGATCTGGTTGGAGTCCTGAAGACGAAAAGAATCAATGTCTGAGGACTCTTGGTAACGTGGTCGAAAATCAGTCACAATGGCGCAGACACATTCACTTTTCCATGTCTTCTAAAACTTGAATTCCCACATTGACTTTCATTCTCATATTGTTTATTCTCTCACACAACTTTGTCTACTTTGCTATCACTCTTTTTCTGTACACCTATGCTTTGTATGTTACTGTGAAGTGTGGCATCTTGAGCTGATACACATGCTTGTGAGGTTACGTTGATTTTGTCTGTCTCTCTGGACGTGTGGACCAGCTGAAATATGTGATTTGAAGAAGTGTCTGGTGTATCACAACAGTAACGGGCAGAAAACAAATCTTCACCAACAAGTATGCATTCTTCTTTTCACTAATTGAAATGAGTTTACTGCATCATTTAACAGCGTGCGAATGTTAATTTCGCAACTGGACTTAGTCGTAAACAAGTCTATTTACACCTTCGATTCCCACTGCAATACATACGGAAGTAAAATACCATGAAAACCTCTCACTGAATACTAAAAGTGATTGGATCTGAAGAATGTAATGTAGATTGTTTGCTGAATTACCCATGACCGAACTATTTGGTTGCTTTGCCATAATGTCTGCACTTCGTCTGTGGTTTCAAAATACAGTGAATGAGTAGAGGTTTGTTACAGAACTCAGAAGTCCGAGATCACTTAACTTGTGGAACTCAGGAGAAACCATTCAATTAACTTAATATTAAGATTCCACTTCTGTGTCAAGATTGCACACGGAAATTTCCCGCTTATTTATTTGACATGGCTACTTATGGATTTCGTAGATGAAGATATTTTGATAGACAGATAAAACAGGATACACAGTAGAGAATACCACTTCTTTCCCAAAATGATTTTAACCTACCTTGATTACCAGGTGGTGTACATATGGAGAACATTGAACGGGCGATGGGAGCAACCAAACTTTTTACCAATCGAGGAATAGCAGCTATTGTAGAAAGAAGAATAAACCACACTCATTGAAAAATCAGTATGTCTGTGGGACATATCTTATTAGACTGAGTTTCATTCCAAAGGTAAGTTCAAATCTGGGCATAGATTACATTTGCATGGATCTCAGGATGCTCAAAATGTAATGATTGCAACATCAGCTGGAAATCTAATCAAATGGTGCTTAATATTGTAGTGAGCAACTGTCAGAATGTTGTACACTTGTAGCCATCATCTCTTCTCATGTCTCGTACAAAGAATACTGGAAAATGAAGTTCGGAATGTGGAGGAGTTCCCACAGAAGAACTGGTTACTCTTTTTTGGTGAATGCTAAAGTATGCAAAGCAGAACGAAGACCCACAGATGCACGTCCACCAAATAAAATATGGCGAATGAAATGTGGTATATGAAGAGGAGAATGTTAGCTTAAAATATACGTGGTTTGCTGAAGCTGGTCATTACTAACACAAATTCATAAAGCTTCATGTGATGCTGGGAAACTTACAACGAAGTCAGTGATCGTGTTACGCACACAGAAGAATGAGAACACAACAAGGACTTTGTGGAACAATTGCTATGAAATATTTACGATCATGGTAGGAAGATCAAAATCTGAGCTACTAAGAATCTGAGTAAATCCCATAAGACTGAACAGAAAAGACGGAGTGCAGTAGTCGATTGGTGAACGTTGGATTGTAAAACTTGTGAGCATACTTTCATTGACAGTCATATCTCCCTTATACTCTGAAATGAAGGAATATATTTCCCCGCTCAATCAGTCTTTTTTCTAAATGTAAAAATGATGATACGTATGTACATCTCATATATCTCATTGTATCCACACATATTTGTTTAATTCCCTTAGTTCATATTCATTAAATGCCATAACATTTGGACATACCTCTCCAGCATTGTCTATACTTGAAGTTACCCAGTGTTTGCATTTTACTGCTCATGAGGTATAGTCCTTTGAGCCTAAAACCTAATACACACCTAATTCTGAGCTGAACAATGGCTGTCTGGAATGCGGGCTAATGACTGACTAGATCTATGAGAATAAATTTCCCACATTTATTTATATTTTGACAGTCTTCATGACAGTGGAACTAAATATATGCTGTACTGAAGTCTCAGTGGGAATACTGTTACCATGGGATGTGAATGGATTTGCCTGATTAGTTCCACGTTCGCCATTAGCCAATACCAAATAATGCACCGATACTCCATGTTAGGAACTCATTTATGGATTCTGAGGTGACAACTAAATCTTTGCAATGCGAAAGCGTGAAATGGAACCCTTAATCATAGCCTTAATCATAGTTACCTAAATACACGGAATCATATCTCACAGTATATGGATGCTGCTGCTTTCCCCGAGATGCTTGGCAGCATGTTCATGTAATGATGTCACACTGGTGTCAAAAATAAAAATCGTTTTCATTTCTACCATCAAAGTGTAGAGTGAAGGCGATTGTCCACTTTAGTCGACAGAAGGGTCTTCTTGCTGATTGAAAAACGTAGACATACTTCACCTATCATTTGATCACTGGGAAAAACAGGAGAGCAATGTGAAGTGTTGGAGTGTGAGGAAACAATACAATGTCACACCGATCTGAAACGTGTTTTGAGTTTGCAGCATCCCATCAGTCTTTCCTTCGACAGTGTTTCTCATAATATCTTCATTCTAGTAAACTGTGTTTGTATGTGGCTGCGCTGAACTGAGCTGATCAGAAATGAAAGGATGTTTTTGAAGACAATGAGGGAGAATGTTCGCGTAGTATAACAGAAAGCTGGCAGACAACGTTTGCTTCAACAACCTGCGTTCAGAAATTTAATTTCTGCAGATATTTCAGCATCAGCACTGTCCTACTCGATACAATACTTTATTGAGTGCCGAGGAATGAACTGCTAAACAATTCAAAGAGCGTGGAACATGCAATGCATGTCTGATACTCGGGTTCTAAGCCCATACAAATATTTTATGACGTAGTTTAGACAAACATTCACGACGTACCTGCGTAGACAATAATATTGGCTTTCTGTGTTGGAAATTGATAAGCAACAGCCATAAGTACTTTGTTCACCGTCATCATAGCTAAGGAACCTGCCAGAGTGAATACAAGTAATTTCATGTGTCGTATGAAAGATAATGCTGGTGCATCGTTGATGATTTCCGTTTGTGATGACAACGTTTCTTCACTCACTGGACGTTTCTTTTTGGAATTCCGTCTTTGTCGGAGTCTAACAACAATTATTGTGTAGGCGATTCCCAGCGAGGATGAAATGAAATCACTGACACCTCTAGAAATAAGTTCAAAAGGATAATTGATAAGTAGTGGAAACTCTTTGATGAAGTAGAGTTTGAGAATGCTCAACATTTGCAACTACTTTCAGTAATCAACAGTCAGAAATCAGCATGGAATATAATTCAAAATTTCCAAGCCATTGGAATGTCGGTTCCCTGGAATGTTATCCCAGGTATGAAATCAACGCATCTCACACCATAAACAACTATTGTTGAGACACAGACAGCGGGAATGAGCAGTGTTGCAGTAGAACAAATGGAAATCATATGTTCAAGCTTGGTCAACTGATATCAACTCGCTTCACGTGGAGCTACTTGATTCATCGGTAAAACAATTTCTAGTCTACACACTAGCATATTTCACTCTTGCTAAGTGAAGTTGTTTTCACCTCATAGAAGTCAGAATAATGAGAGTAAGTGATCTCACCTGGTGCAGAATGCGCTGAGTGGTTTATGAAGATAGAATTTCAATGAGAATCCGCTTAAATGCTGATGTTTTAACAAACCCTGGTGAGCAGTAAGCTCGTTCGATCTCATGTCAGTTATGTACGTTTCATTCATCTCAGAATGCATACCTAACATGCTGGTTACCTAATCTAGCAGCTTTTAAACAGTGATCATGTATTCATTGTTGAATCATCAAGTTCGTGATGTTTACTCACAGTATGAAACCAGCGACATTTGGATACAGATTAAACGAACTGTTTTGTTACATGTGTGAGCAAGCTAAGTGTCTTGATCAAACTAGCTGATTTAATTAGAAGATATGTGTAGCGAAGATCCCACATTCATATGACATTTCCTTATCCCAATACGCTGATGATCGAAATCTTCATAGAATTTATAGAACTGTCTTTCGTTTTTCAAATTTGAAGATGAGGAGTAACTTCATTTGAGGAATGTCAGTGTGTCATTTATTATTTACGGTAAATATGATTACTGACAAGCAATGCAAGAGGAGTAGACGGCTAATCATTTGACTTATTTTGGAAATGAATAAAAATATGAAACGTTTGCTTACATGTGTATTCCCACTTGTTGAGGATTCCACAAGAATGGTGAGCCCATGAGGTAAATAACAATGTATTGAAGATTGATAAAGCAAGTTATTGAAATGAGTATAACAACTATTATGACCATTATGAAGAGTAGTACCAGAAATACCATCAGCAGGCACAGAATTACCATTAACCCAAGACCTCCGACAAAATCAGAAATGTAGTCCAGACCGTCATAAAGTGTCTGAAACCCGGGAAAGCAGCGGGACCAGATGGAATTCTACCGGAGGCATTGAAAACAGACGAAGAGACAACAGCAGACATTCTCACATCACACCGCTACTACAGAAGGATTGCAAGGAAGGAGAGGTAACTTCCGACTGGAAGAAGGGCTACCTTTTTATCTCCCACAGATGGTTGATCTAAGCCTTTGCAAGAACTGGTGCGGAATCGCGCTCCTGTTTACACCAAGCAAAATATCAAGCTTCATCTTCGTGGGAAGACTGGAAAATGCTCTGAATTCGAAATTACGACCGGAACAGGCTGGCTCGCTGGCTTCAAGGAGAACAAATCAAGTGGGTATCAAACTGCAATACTACGCTACGCATCATCATAATACAGAGAGTAGAATGGCAGTCAACTCTCTACCTCAACTTCATGGATTTTGAAAAGGCCTTCGATATCGTCGACCGAGGAATAATTTGTCAGACGGCTGCTTCAACTCTACGGTTATACTACGATAAACCTTTACCAACCTCATTCAACAGCTATATGATATATGTCGAGTGATTTACAGTGGGAAGCTCAGTAACGTCTTTGAAGTGAAGACAGGAGTAAGATAAAGTTGTCTTCTATCACCGATAATCTTCCTGAGTGTGGTCGACTGGACTGGATTACGCAACAGACTATGAGGAGTGAGAAGTGGGGCATACACTGGCTGAACCGATGAAAAGATCCCAGAAGGAGATTTGGTTTTCACCGATGATAATTCATATCTGTCTTGTTGCACAAACTGGAAGATCTACAAGCGAAGGCTAACAAGTTGACAGAAGAGGCGAGGCAGAGCAGCGAAGACGGGACTTCGTTCAGGTGGACGTAGAGAAGACAGAGGTGATGAATATACTCAACCAACCAACAATAAGCATCAATCACCATGGACGGGAGAAACCTAAAGGAAGTAGTCTCTTACACCTACCTGCCTACCTAGGCAGAATCGTTTCAGCTACAGGCGGGACAGATGAGAATATCAAAGCCAGGATCGGAAAGACAGCAAGGCAGACTTCATTAACCTGAAACCAATATGAAGCTCTACTGCAATCCACTCCACTCAACATAAAAAACAAGATCCACATTTTCTACACTAATTCAGTCAAGTCAGTGCTTCTATATGGTTCAAAAACTTGGCGCGATACGAAAATCATTTTCAACAAACTACAGATATTAATCAACAGCTGCCTACGCTAGCTACTGGAGATCAGATGGCCAAAAAGAAGGAACTCTATCTGGGCAAAGAAACAAATGGACAACCCATCGTTCAACAAATATTCAGAAGAGAGTGGAGACAGAATAGGAATACTTTGAGATCACTCGGGGACATCACACGCCAGATCAGGCCGTCGAGTGGAATCCAGATGAGAAATGATGAGTTGGGCGTCGGAGGGTGATATGGAGGAGATGATATGAGGAAGAAATGAAAGCTTGTGGGTTTTTGTGGAGCCAGATCGAAAAGACTGCAGAGAACAGAGTCGAATGGAGACGTTCTACTGAAGTCCTATATTCCACTGAGAACCCAAGGGACAGTTAATAATAATAATAATAATAATAATAATAATAATAATAATAATAATAATAATGATAACGTAAGAGGAGTAGACAGCTAATCACTTGACCTATTTTGGAAATGAATATGAATATGAAAAGTTTGCTTACATGTATATTCCTACTTGTTGAGGATTCCACAAAAATGGCGAGCCCATGAGGTAAATAACAATATATTGAAGATCGACCATAGAGCTAATTGAAGCGAGTATAACAATTACTATTACCATAATCAAGATTGGGTCCAAATGTCTGAGAGCCTACAACAACATGTAATCAAAACAAAAACTGAATTTCGTCAGTGCGCTCGTACAACGTCAGACTTTGCATAGTAGTAGATTTGAAAATATAGAACAATCAGACCAGGTTTCATTTCTTCAGGCTAAATTCATTAAAAATGTCTTAGCGTTAGTATCCAATTATAAATATCATGTCAGTAATTTAGTGAATTAACTTTTAAGCTTGATGGAATCTCCACGTAAAGGAAAACTCTAAGTGCTCTGTAGAAAGAGTTTGGGGAGAGCTGTAATAATCTTTTTTGTCGTCCAGTTGATTAAAGATAGTTGCAAGAGGTCTGCTAAGAATTTTTTACATAGTGACACTCTGAAGTTTTCCTTTAAGAAGAAGTCGGAGAAGAAAGGAGAGGAGATACAGGCCAAACTCCAAAACATCGTCTTTATGCTGCAGTCAATATCTCTCAGCTAGATTTCGAAAAAAAGGTGTGCAGTTCTCAGAGTTGCACTCAGGAAATCTATGTAACACAGCTATAGATCTGTGACGTTAAACCATGGAAAGGAGCCTCTATTATATGTATTAAGCTGACAACCACTTGACACGCTTACTGATGAAGGAAGAAAACTTTCTTTCTAGATGATATTTTAATTTGTCCACTAAATAAAATTTGATGAGTTCACTTGCGTTAAGAACCGTGGAATACCTGACTTATCTGGAGAGACACTCTATTTGAACATACATCAAATTTCCTTGGGATGATTCAAAAGCAGTCGGGTCGGAGGTAGTCAGCGACCACCAGTAGAACTGTCTACAGAGGAAAGTGTTTGAACTAATTCAGGTATGATTTTTCTTTGAAAAACACGTGTAGACATTAAGACAATGAAAGATATATTCATAAGCGGAATATCTCTTTGTTATTGTTCATGGAATATTTTTCCGAATTTCTAAAGTAAAGACTACTGCAGATACTCTCATTAAGCTCCTAATTGAACTTGATGGAAAAAAACATTTTAGCGAGGTTATTTCTACAGTTGCATTCTATCAGTCAATAAGATAATCACCAGATCAAGAAAATTACGCATATCACATGAACTAGGTAGGCAAGTGGAAATCAATAATCCCGGCTTCTCCTATTTGTTTGTTCTTAGGCGATTGAAATGTAAATTAAGCGTTCATGAATATGAAGGTTTTAGTAGTTTCCAACGACAGTTATTTCATGGTTAAAAAATATCGTGAATTCATACCTCATTTTTCCTTCTCCCATGTCACCTTCTTGAAGTAACTTTCAGTTAAATAACACTACCCATCTTTTTAGTTACTGACAGTAATCAGACAGTTATTTTCTTCTAAACGAAACATTCCATTATTGTCATGCAGTTTGAAAGCCCATAGCTTCTTCCTACCACGTGCCTCTTCCTCAGTTTGCAAACGTGAAGATTTCACCAGGCATGATCTAAATTATCAGTAATTTTTATGGCTCTACTCAGCTATTTCTTCTGATTTCACTTGCGTTGCACAAATGTCATGTCATTCAAATTACGCCAGTAACTCTTAGTCATAATGAAATGAACTAAATCACTTACAAATAAGTTTAAAATCAATGTTTACACACAATGGTAAGACTTTCAAGCTTAGGTAATATTTCCAACGAAATAATACCTATAATCATATCAGATACCTTTTGTTATCTCCTCTTCAATGGTGACAAGTATATGTACAAATGATTGGAGTTCTAATACTTTCAGCACATTTGGTGTTCTAAACTACTCAGACTGAAGCAGCTGATGTGCGACTCTATATTAAAATGATGTCATATTATTTTATTCACTTTATTTTCTTCTCTCTACTTAAAAGGGTATACTGTATCTGCGACCGGCATATAAAGCATTCGTGACCATCATGAAAGTACTCAATACATAAATAAATATCTCGAACTTTGATTCTTACAAACATATTCCTGGTAATTACTGCTATCAAATACCTAGGCAGTTTACAATATACCATGGAACATCAGTTGATATAACAACTTGCTTGTAATTTTATGATGAACCTCTTCTTCCAGTTTTGTTGGATTTCAATAGTACGGATATCGTCCTCGACACCATCGACTCCAGCACCATTCGTACTATCTCCATCCATCATTTCACTGACATTTGTTGCCTTATTAAAGGCTTTACGGGTTCTGGTAAAATGCAGATCAATATTAGACTTGGGACAAACAAGGAAACGCAAGTGATAACTGCAGCATTGAAACCATATCGATAAATAATTGTTCCTGTGAGATGAAAATGAAAAAATCAACTGAAGTTTGGTAGATAAATAGAGTCATTTGTTTCACATAGTACTGATGACTGTTAAAAGTTGTTTTGTATGTTGTATATGTAACCTTTTTTTGTTAAAGCATGTGGACTCAAATCTCATGAATACCGACTTATGCAGAAGTTATTGCTCCGAAATCCCTTGTCTGATTAATGTGGTTTCTACTTGGTATCTGAATTCCTGTTATGTATCATCTCAAAGATCTAACATATTGCGCAAAACAATTGGAGACTTCGTTAAACAAAATTGTCTGTTTAACGTTTTCAACATTTAATGAGTAAATAATTCTTTAAAATGAAATTTACAAATTTGGTATACCACTTCTTCAAGAGAGAGACTCCGTTTCACCATAATATTTTCGATTACTTTTACATCAGTTAATGGAATAAATTGTCGAGTGCTGCAACTGTAGATTTTTCAATGACAGCTATCTATGTGAGATTTATGGGTCATGAAAAGAGATATTCAAGCAAAATGTGTTATTCTTCCATTCGCCTGCGGAGAAGTAATTTAATGCTCACTGCATACAGTGGATTCTACGAAATTATTGAAATTACATGTTGTGTTACAGTGACTACAAATATGTATATGTTATTATTTCACTATTTAGAGGCACAATAAAATGAGCCATGGACATGAATTTATACTTACTGACCTTTATCATAAACAACTAATTGTTTTCCTAAGTGAATCGCAACTATGCATAAGAAAGGATGGTGATCAGTTTTTCACTTATTTTGTTGGCTGGAAAGTAGTTTTTTACTGCAGAGTTTGGTAAATGGTCAAAGAAGGAACTGGCTATAATTGAGAACATAAACTGCAAAAATCACTTTGCAGTATGCCTGATCCGATCACGACATAAATTATGAAACACACCAGTTCTCATCAGTAAACTACAGATAATAGAAGTACATACTATTCAGTATCGACAAAAGTTACACATTGGACAAAAGACATCATACCTCTGTAATGACCATGTAATACACTAAACGATCAGGTGGATCTTTTGACTTCCGCTACATGTTGGAACATCAATCACAAAGCTCATTTACCCAACGCATGCTTTACCAAGCTGACCAAGTTAGGAAAGAAACCATGAAATAAGCCGTGGTTTGATATCATGGTGCACAAGCAGTACTGACTGCTGAAAAATGTTTTCCATTGGCACATAAGTCATTTTCAAATGATTTGCTTAACCTTCTGAGATTTTGGCAATTGTATTTCTCAAACTAGTATTCATCACGGACTGATATAATTTGAAGAACCATGATGAATACTTCTTCATAATTAGAATCCTCATCACTCTCAAAACTGTTTATATAATGGTATATTTTAATGTACTACAACATAATATATCTATACGCGTATGTAATATCTAAATCAAATTTGTGAATCATAACTTTTAAAGATGGCAATTAAGTTTAAACCACCTATACTAACAGTGTATTACTGGTTAAGATTACATACTTGCAATCGGACTACTCATTAATGAACAAAGAGAACCGATACATTCGAAGATTGTGAACCAAAGCCATATTTCATGATTAGTTTCTTCCGCTGATACTGCTTAGTCATTTTGCATTTGCTTAGCATGTGAAAGTCTTGTGACATCCACTAGTACCGCTGCGACTTGACAATATAGCGATAAAAAGCCATCACCGAAAAATGCTTCGAAAAATCCACCAGCAATTATTATCCACACATTGAGGTTCATTGTTACTATTAAGCCTGTAAATTGAACGATAACACTACAATTACTTTTAAGCACGAATAGAAGATGGATCATACTTAGAAAGAAAATATATTCATAGGCTGGCTACGATCTCAGCTACATAGATGTTAGGCTATCTGAAGAATTTTTATCATAATCATTCTTTCGGAAATTTGAGACGGATTGAATACTGAATTCAACTTTTTGGGAGTTTGGAAAAGACGGATCCTTTAATTTTTTAAATCCTTAGTTATTAGATTGTTCGCATCAACTTGGTATGTTCTAAAACTCTTTTTCCACACAAACCTCTCATGGCAATAAAATTTATCCTTTGTCTCATAATAAACTTTCATATAAATAACTATGACAACTGCGTAGGTAATCAGATTGTACGAAGTGATTTGCGCCAATACATTGCAAGAATGAGAAAAATTACGTCTTCTCATTGTTTTGTCTGCCTTCATAACGGGTACAATTTGTTTTAAAGGACTAGTTAGGAAAACTGTAGTTTGAAAGTTCGGAAAAATGTCTCTACAACTTTTATTTACACTTAAAGAGGCATACAAGTAAAAACAGTTTTCTATAGGTAATCAGTAGAGTTTTAATGGAAACAATAACTATTAAACCGCGTGGTAGCAACAGAATTTCTATTATGAAGAAAAACATCTGTCCACATCTTTAAACAGACAGCTTATATAAAGCCACAAATTCCATACCGTAGTGAAAACAAAATGTTAAAATATATTTTATCAAACAGTACATGCTTACACAGATTTAGAGAAGAATGGAATTTCAGCATGATTTGACAGATTTAAATTACAATTAAAAACTTTGACTGAAGCCTGAGAGAATTGCCTAAGAAAATAGACATCATTCAATACAATTTCAGCATTGCCAAGCTATAGAATGATATTGATAGATAAATGAGAGAAGAGTGTATGCGTGGCCCTGAAATATATTTAGAGAGTCATAATTTCTGACGCTTAACGACACATACATCTAGGTTACTTTTATAGTTCTCTTCGCAGTCAATGTGAAGGAGAATGTATTGCCAGTATTATTTGTTGTCTATTAGACTGTCCTAAATCGTGCAAGAGCAAGAAAGTTGACTGAGGAAAATATATGACTCAAACTTAAGTGAAATGCTACTTCTTACCCTTAAGACACAACCAAAAGTACTACTCCACCCATTATTTTGCATGGTCTCGTTCCAAAAGATAAGAATAGTCAACACGTAACGAAAGATCACTCTCATGATTTTTTCATCATTCATATCATAGTTCAAGTAACATTCATTACTGTCCCATTTTTCATGAAGTAAACACCATCACACACGTTGCAAGTGAGTATTTCAGACTAAACTTAGTTCGGCGTAAGCCTTGTGAAAAAATCCTGAATCGTTTGTAGTCACAGTATTCGTTTTGCAAGCCAGTGTACATACATTCTGGGTTGGAGTCCAGTCTATCAAACACGCTTTCCCGACAACCAGCATCACAGAATTTTGAATGATCTGGATGATTGACATACATGAAAGGAGTGATAATCATATGGATGGATTAGACATTTTCAGATGGTAAATTGGGTAACAACTCTGCCAATGTCGAAGTATGATGCATATGTTCATAGTGAAAGGGTGTAAACGATTGATTGAATGATATTTAGGAAGCTTTCACTCATGAAGTATAAACGGGGTGATCCCATGAGGTGAGTGTAAGAGGTTATTTAATCCAGTTCATAACTGGTTTATTCCATTCCTAGCATAACCAAACTGCATATTTACTTTATGATTTCTCAAATCTGACTCCAATCCATTCGACATAAAGTGTGAACAAAATTGACAAGTAATTGATCACAATAATTATTAGGTATTTTGAGGCTCATTGAGATTTATATCTCAAGGTAGTATTCATCATAGACTTCCGTTAGTTGAAGAACCATTTACAACCTGTCATCATTGGATAGCTGTTTCATTCTCGTGATGAATACCATTTGAAAAATACTTATCATAATGATAAGGTAATCACTTACTAGTCAACAATGTGTGCAGAGCTTCTCCGAAAAGTAGAATACCCAAGGCAACTCTTCGGCCGAAATGATCCGATACATAGCCAATAATTAGCATAGAAACTAAACCAAGTGTGATCCTGACTGCATTCGTAACATATTCTAGCGTAGCTGCCTTCCCCTGTGCAGCTTTTAATTTCTCTTGGTCGGCTGATGAACTTAAAGACAAATTTAAACATACCAACAGAAATTGAAGGAGAAGCTACATTAGTGGTTGAATAAACATATGTTGTCAACAAATGGAAAAACGCAGGGATTAGAGTGTTGGGCAGTGGAATGAAAAATGCATTATTACTTAACTTTCTTGTGCACTTTATCATATTTTTATTCGTGTGTGTGGTATAAAAACTTTCTCTGCATCTTGTCACTCTCACAAACATTACATTCATACATCTTTCATCATAGCAACTAGTACTGCTTCTCATACACCCTGTCGTCCTGTTTCCATTGTTTTCACCTGCATGACATGGATGATGCAATTTCAAGATCATCATCTGCGAGAATTAATGCACAAGTGTCCTCAGAACTCATCTGTGTCAATTATCAATGTCTTCCTTCGCTTTAATACATAATGACACACCTCTATACATACATAAACACGTTCTCATGGATCTCAATCATTTTTGTATCTAAATAATCGTTCCCGTTACTTCTTCATTTTAATATTAAAATAACAGCAAATCGGTGAGTCTGGACCATGAATGAACTAGACATACCACTAGTGAGAAACAGGTTTGTACTCATCGTTACTATTCTGTCTAAATACCTTGAATATTCATTCCACAAAAGTGCTCCCTTGACAGTCAGCACGAAAATAAGCCTAAGTATTCACTAGTATTGCCGATTGAGACTGTTCGAAATGAGTTAGATGCAAATTGCCTGACAATTAGAGCACAATCGATAAACTTCAATTTCCTTCAGTAGGAATGAAAGCAACACGGAGGATTGATGAGACTCTTGATGCAACAGTGAAATCATGGTTTGTGCAGGAATGTTTCCAGCAGCCATCTTTATCTACGGAAATGACTCATTCTGAAGCAATACTAATTTTATCGTCTTCCTTCCTGCTTCAATGATGAAGGAGGTAAGTTTAAAATGATCCGCTCACTGTATTCCAATTGAGCAGCGAATTCAGTTTGTAGCCACAGTATTTAAACTTGCTTTCCTCTCTTTCGTTTTGTA